GAAACGGGTGCTGTGCTCCTGGGGCCTGGAGGCCTGGCAGAAGAAAAAACAAGAAGATGGAGAAGAATAAGACTAGTAAGACCGAGAGGAAGCTGAGTCTTTACTGGACCAAAGCCTTGTCCCGTCGACACGTGTCCACACTTGACCAGTCTACATTCCGGTAACGCGTACGCCAGGGCACGCTGAAGTGCTTTGAGAGCAGAATGCGTGCACGTGATGGGTTGCGCGAGGAGCTGCAGGACCTCATCGGGAAGGCTGGATTTGAATCCGAGCCTTGAGCTGCGAGCGATCTTTGAGTGTCATTCGATTCATTCGATTTGAGACCACCTGGGGCATGCTGCAAATTGCAGACTTGTGAGAAGAAGCCCCTCTATGCGAAGCAAGTTGTAAGCCGCTTAATTAATGCAGCAAAATGAAAAGTCAAGTGAAAGAACTGTGTTTTGGGGGACTTCCGTGAGACGGTGGCTGTGGAGGTTGCCGGCGGAACGAACAGAACGCCGTGAGCACCTTGGTTCGGCTGCAGGAGCAGCTAACTTTTCAGCACAAAGCTTTGTCAGAAGTCTTTGAAGTACTTTCTCAACCGCACCATTGCAGATTGCCAGATTGGAAGGAGATCTCGGCATCGTGAAGAGGAAGGCCGATTCCGGAAGCGTGCCCACGCTGGCAGAGTGGAAGGCACCGGGTTCAGGTTTTTGTGAGCCTTTCGAAAAAGCTTCAGGCTTCAAGTCGAGGAGGGTAGTGGCACAGTGCCTTGGCCCATTCAACAGTCCACCTGCGAAGGCCTGACCTGCAGACTCCCCCCGCACACACGTCTTTGCCAACATGCTTGTAAGCCCTCAACTTCTACAAAAACACCGATGCGGCGCTGCAGGCTCTCAGCTCAAAGCTTGAGGCTGGGATCTAGCGTGTGAGGGCTGGTGTCGTGTGGGAACAGGCAAGGCCACGAGATCCGAGAACGGTTGTAGCTGTACTCAACAATTGGGCTGTAGTCGGACTGGGATAGCCGGCTGTCAGATGGGTTTGGTAGCGCTTACACCGCAGCTTGGGTTGCTTGCAGGAGGTGTAGTGACGCTGGGCCTTGGTGCTGGTGGTTTCATCCACCAGCGCCGTGACTTTGCGTCACTCCTCCTGTTCATCCCAGGCATGCGGTGTCGGTGCAGCCAGACTTGTTGGGCAGCCGACATTCCCTCGTCAAACCTCCAACCTGCTTGACCGAATCCTGAGCCATTGCAAGCCCTGCTGGTCCTCGACCAAGCCCAATGCCACCGTCCCTCCGCCCCATTGATTCTATGACATCAATGGAGGTTTGAAGTCCCATGCGAGGGCTTGAGCTTCACGTGTGCTGAGTGTGCGACGTTACATGGCCATCCTTCCATGTGGGTATTGCCAGCTCTTCGTGGGAAGCTTGACTCGCCAGCATCGCACCACGCCACCCGCCACGCGCCCCCGTCCTCAGCCCTCAGACCTACTGGCCTTGAAAGCCCGACACTGCTCCGAGCCCACCACTGTCTGCAGGCGCGCTTGCATGCACTTGTGCATGCACGGCGCTGCCAAGCGTGCGCCTGCATGCACATGCGCATGCACGCGCACCTGCAGAAAGTGGTGGGCTCGAGCAGTGTCGGGCTTCAAGGCCAGTAGGTCTGAGGGCTGAGGACGGGGGCGCGTGGCGGGTGGCGTGGTGCGATGCTGGCGAGTCAGGCTTCCCACGAAGAGCTGGCAATACCCACATGGAAGGATGGCCATGTAACGTCGCACACTCAGCACACGTGAAGCTCAAGCCCTCGCCATGAGCCTTCAAGCCAAGTGGGCATGGACTGGTGGGGCTGCAACGGCTGTGATGGATTTGGAAGGGCGGGGTGTGGGCGGAGGGACGGTGGCGACCAATACGGCTCACGACCTAGAGGTTAGCTTAACTTAGCTTAGACAGCGTTAGAAAATCTTGTGGCCTTGCAGTTTCAGTCAGCCTGTCAGCGAATTCCCCTGCTTCAACAAAAGGGTGTTGGGAGGCGTATCTCCGGGGCTGCAAGCGCCAAAATGGTGCGCGCAGCGAATTCGCAATCTTGCGTGCAAACGGACGTCTGCAGGAAATGAGCGAAAGACTTCACATGTGGACATCGCTTGTCAGATTTGTCTTTTGCAAGCTTGTTCCAAGGTGCTCCCATGCATGTCTCAAATGTGGGGTTGGGGTGCAGCAGGTTCACAGGTTCGATACAATCAGAGTGCGGACTGACCCACTTATCCCGCTTGAAATCAAATTCTCCGTGGCATCTTGAAGCGAAGCGCCATCACCACGATGAAATCTTGAAAGTACTGCTGCAACTGGACATGGAACCTACCCTTTACGAGTTCTGCCGTTGGCATTTTCGCTACCCGTGAAAGTTGTGTCAGAACTTGTGTTCCCAAAAGCGCCCAATATATGCACGGTCCTTCGCCCAAACATTTGCAAATTTCCAATCCCCCTTCTCGGCTCGAAAAGGGAGAGGTTGGAAATAGGATTTTTGCGAAAAGAGGGTTAGATTGCCAACAAGAATCGGTTGAATGCTTGGGTTCCCAAAAGGGCCCCAAGAGGCTTGGTTGGGTTCCAAAAAGGCCCAATTATACAACTTGTTTAGCCCAAAACTTGAGCCGAGAAGGAGCGGTGAGAATTGGAATAGGCACGTCAACACGCACATCAACGCATAAATATATTTCAATACCTGTCAAGACATATCCATACATATCAAGACGCACGCATAGCAACACGCATCGACTGACGCACACAGACACATACAAATATCAAAACACATCCCCACACACATCAAAGCTCATTTATACTCGTTCATATACAAATGGCGCATATCATCACACATCATGAAACATCACTTCTCTCTCACACGACATGCATCAACCAACATACACACACACACACAGGTACCCACATCAACACATTCATCAACAAATATACACACACATTTCAATCCACATCACACACACACACACACACACACGCGCACACGCGCGCGCGCGCACGCGCACACGCACACGCACGCGCACGCACGCGCGCGCACGCGCACGCGCGCGCACGCACGCTGCGCGCACGCGCACCCGCACCCACACCCACACCCACACCCCCACCCCCACCCGCACCCGCACCCGCACCCGTACCCAAACACACACACACACACAACATACACCCATTCCCCACATACATCAAAGCACGCATCAACTTACGTGCACACATACACATACACCACCACAGAGGCACATCAACACGCGATCAATCCGCATCAACACTCTTCAGTATGAATCATGTCAGCACACAACAAAACGTACCAACACGCATCGACCGACACACACACACACACACGAACAAACGAACAAACGAACAAACGAACAAACGAACACAAACGAACACAAACGAACACAAACGAACACAAACGAACACAAACGAACACAAACGAACACAAACGAACACAAACGAACACAAACGAACACAAACGAACACAAACGAACACAAACAAACACAAACAAAAACAAACAAAAACAAACAAAAACAAACAAAAACAAACAAAAACAAACAAAAACAAACAAAAACAAACAAAAAACAAACAAAAACAAACAAAACTAAACAAAAACAAACAAAAACAAAGCGAAAACAAACAAAAACAAACAAACAACAACAAAGCGAAAACAAACAAAAACAAACAAAAACAAGCACAAACAAACAAAACAAACAAAAACAAACACAAACAAACAAAAACAAACAAAGACAAACAAAGACAAACAAACAAAACCACACAAACGAAAACACACAAACAAACACAAACAAACAACCAAGCAAGCAAGCAAGCAAACGAACACCCTTGCGCCAACACACATCCACACACACACACATCAACGCTCATTAGTTCTCATCGAAGCACATCAACACATAGCAACACACACCATCATACGTCAACACACATCATCACCCCACACACACACACACACACACACACACACACACACACACACACACACACACATGCATGCACGCACGCACGCACACACACACACACACAGACACAGACACAGACACAGACGCAGACGCAGACGCAGACGCAGACACAGACACAGACAGAGACAGACACACACACACACACAGACACACAGACACACACACACACACAAACACACGTACAGACTACGCCTACAACCCTTTTTTCAAGACTCCAGGGCCTGGGATGTTGTATTGAAGTTTCCATCCTTCGACCAATCAAGCAGAAAACCTGAAACCTTAAACCTTAAACTGCACGATGCCCCCTCGCACAGCCCCAGCTGGCAGACAAACGATTTGCACAAGCTGCATATATGCGGCAGGAGAGGACAGTTGGACTGAAGAAGCTGACTAGACCACCTAGATTTCAGGGCTCTCTTTATAGACGAGTTCTGTCTCCCTTCGGCTTTTTGGGGTTTCAACAACATGCGTTCTTGGCGCGCATGTGCGCCTTTTGCAAGGCCTTCAGCCCCAAATCCTGGCTGCAGGCTTTCGGAGTCGACTTTCGGTTTCAGCTGTCACTCTTCGATCTCAAGTGTACCATGGCCCCTGAACTGTTGTAGTGAACTCCAAAGCCCTGCAAGATTTAGGGTTCCGAACTGTACCCCGTGCCTCGACACCATCAAAATGTAGTCCGGAAACGCAAAGTTTTCGGAGCCAACAACCTTATCCTGAATCGCGCACAGTCCAGAGGAACATGCACGTTCCACCACTCGTTCCACCTCGCGTGCGCGTAGTTTTCCAAGTCGCTTTCCGGACAGGCATCTGAGCGCTCTAAGTTGTGCGCACCTGCACTTTAGGCCGGAGCTGCTGCATGAACAAAGAGATGTGTAGATGGGGCTTAAGCGTTTGGAGGTTTTAAGTAAGGCAAGACTGCAGAGAGTGGAAAAGCATTGCAAAGCATTGCGCCATAGCAACCACCTTGGATTGTTCTCGACAGCCTTCGAGCCTGTACGCAAGAGTGCTTGCGGCTCAGTAAAGGGCCATGTCTCGCGCAGCCCTCGTGCTTGGACTGGGGCTCGACCCGCTGTTGGCCCAGAGAGCACTGAACATTTTGGAGGGCCGAACATACCCACACCACCCAGTGATGCTTCAGGCAGGGTCACCACCAACGCAGCGACTGTTCCAACAAGAAACCCCGAACGACGGAAAGACCAACACCATGGGGCTGTCCCACCTGTCTGTTTGTGCTCCAATCTCCCCTCAGGCACCCCAGGAGTCGTACCTGCTTGAGCCGGGCATCTTAACAGAGCTTTGTGGGCTGCGGGTGCCTGCGCACTTTGACTGCGAGAACCTTTGCAACCACAGCCAATGGGACGAGACTCAGCTCGGGAGCTTCAGATTTCTAGAAACTTGACATGCTTGAACATGCTTGAACCCAAACGGGAGCCCAAGAGACCTCGGCAGTGTGGGCAGAGCAGGGCGGTGGCCAGAAAGATTTTTAAGACAGTATCACAAGCCTATAGCCTTCAAGGGCGACGTCTGCTGAAAGGCACTGCATCTCTGTTCACAAACCTGTAAAGGACGACAGAAAGACTTCGCTGCGTTGTCCGTTCGGCGGCTTTCGCTACTACCTCAACGTGCCAAGTCGCTGGCATGCTTGTCACGAGCACGAGGCCTATGCCAAGTCGGGATTTCCATACCTGCAGGCGCCGGGTTTCTCCAAAGGTAGTCCGAAAGTCTTCTGCAAGATGCCGATCCTTTCTCCAGGTCAGTTTGCCTCTCATTGACGAGGAGTACTTCGAGCAGGTAGCAGTGTATCAGTCGGTCCTCCGGGCTGAAGACTCTTTTCATGCGATGGAGCTGGGAGCTCGCTGGGGAACCTGGGGAGCCCGGGCTGTTGCGCTGCTGCGCTTGCGTAACCCGATGCCATATCAGCTGTTTTACGTCGAGCACACGAAGGTTCACTGCAAGGGGTTGTGGATGGTCATGAAGCTCAACAACATGTCGGCTCATCTGCATTGTACTGCAGCTGACGTTCCTCTCCTGCTGCACCTCCTGTCCAGCACAGACCACTTAGACATCCTGCATGCAGACATCCAGAGCGCGGAAGATGAGCTTCTCACGGACGTGCAAGTGAAAGAAGCCATAGACAGGAGCGTATACCGAGTCATTGTGGGGACACATTCCGAAGACATTCACCGTCGCCTGACGGACGTGTTTATGGACTGGATCACGGTCTTCAACCTCCCTTATGGCTTCGGGCACTGCATCCGACCCTTGAAGGACCCTAACTACCGCAATGCTGGAACATTGCCAAGCCGCGAATTCTGGACTCGGCTTCGTGGCCAAGGCTGCTACCACAACACGCCCCAAGGCGGGAGGCACGTTTCTATGCCTTCTGCACAGCAAATCCAGAACCTCTCAACCTCCTAACAGTACCTAGCGCATCCTAACGCACAACGCTTGGGAATTCTTGAGACCGTTTTCAATCCCTACTAGGCATGGTCGCCAACTGGGATGGAATGCTCATCCTGGATAACCCACACTTCATCGATGCAACAACTGCTTTCTCCATGAGTGATCTTGATCTGCGCATCGACAAGATTAGAAAGCCTGCAGGCTTTGCCCAGGGGCTCGTTCCGCAGGCCTATGGAGGCTCTCTTGAAGGTCAGGTACACATTGGCTTGACAGTCCGGTGCAGTGCTGGTATGTGCTGGTTTCGTTGCTATGGGATGGTATGGGGTGGTTAACAGCACTGCAAGTAGTTGGAAGATCTTGGGGATGCTCAGATACTCCTTTGGGCATGACTTCGGAGATGGCTGATGCATCACGGGCAGTTAACGATGAAGACAGCAGAGCTCAGGCCCACCTCCAAATATGAGTTGCATATTGGCTTTGACAGGCTTTCAGGGACATCAAGGAGCCTTCATGAATAGTTCTCAACCAAACTTAGATGCTTCGATTGTCGGCCAACAGTTGAGCCACTTTCGCATCGAGGTTTGCTCGGACAGCTTCGCCCGACCCTCTCAGCTCCCCAGACACCGAACCCACAACCATATACCGGCCACGAGTTCTGAGTGGAAGACGGATTGGCATACTCAGGTTTACATTTCGTGAAGCTCATTAGGTTTCATGCGGCATAGCTTCAGCTTCGGCCGGGCCATGTGCTTGCGGTTTGCTTTGCCATGGCTTCTCCTTAGTGACGCCAGCAGTGCAGAAGTTTCTCATTTGCTGGTCGATGCTTTGTTTTTTGACAAGCGAAACGACGCCATCATTCTTCCGCCACTTTCGGGAGTTTACAGGCGCTTTGACACCAACTCCCTCACCAAGAGGAGCAAAGGCGCACGCACGCTGCTGTCCAGGAACACAGACTTTTCATGGTGTTTCTCAGTGGAAGGGCGAAATGTACTTTGCAGTGCCGCTTCTGCAGCGGATGTGCGCTCTGTGGAGACGTGGCTCTTCACCCCGCCTACATGTGCATGCCAAAGAAGTGACGGCCTACCAACAGGCAGCCAAATTTTGACGCACAAGCCTGCCCATCAGATCGGCTTCCCATCGCATTCACGCTGTTATTGCACTGGTCGAGAGGCATCGTCTCAGACACGGGTCATCCAAGATATCCGAATCACACAGCCAGCCCTCCGACCAGCTATGCGGCCGCCAAACGCCACCTCCGCTTTGTCACTTGAATGCCCAGTGGGCATTCCCCAAAGAGACAAGCCACGCAAGGTCTTCGTCGGCTTCACGGTCAATGATGAGACCGGGCCGCTGCTGACGCATGTGCACGAGATCGCCCCGGTCGGCTTGTCTTGCAAAGCGGAGTCAATATCATGCAGTTGAGACTGATCATGTATTTGAATAGTCCAAGATTTCCCTGACGATTCTTCGACCACATGCTCACCAACACTTTCATCAGACAGGTATTGACTTAGAGACCTTTTAGCCCTGTTGCTCTCTTTGCATGCATGGAGTATTGCATGAAGATATGTCGGCGTGCAGGAAATCCATTCAATGCGGGTTTCCAGTTTGCACACATCCTCGGCGAAAGCACATCGTGCCAGAATGAGGTCGTAGAATGTATGGAAGAACAACAGCAACTGTGCACCATGTACATCGAGCAGCTATAACTACACACATCAGGTCACTGCAAGTAGAGAAGGCCAATCTCCCGTTCCCCCTCATATTGCATATGCCACAAAGCGTTTGCTTGCATATTTTCTTCTGGAAGTTCCTGTTGTGTGAAGGTCGCATGTTAAGCGATGTCCCACACGCGCAGGGATTCGTAGAATCAATCTTCTCGCGTAAACCCCTTGGGGAACAACTTCGATTAACGTGACGGAGTTGATTGACATGCCCGGATCCAAGTCGAGACAGTTCGGCATCCATGCCTACCTGAACACTTGTTCCACAAGAACCAAAGAAGCGAAAGGCGTTTGACTTTACGTCGAACTGATGCTCTCGCCAAGAGGGAACAGATAGCATTCCTGATGGGTCCATCATTTGGAGCGGCTTCCCCCCCCTCCATTTTTCCCAAAGAAGGGACTAATCATGGGCAAATAACCCCAAAAGTGGTTTGCAGCCCCCCCCAAACCTCCCACACACGCACGCTGCTGCTGCTAGTCTGAAAGTTTTTTTTGTCAGCCGGTGAGGTGGTGGAGGCCATCATCTGGATCGAGGGCACGACCTCTTTCAGTGGTCTTCCTCGCCCCTCTACCCTGGCACGGCTGCGCACCAAACTGGCCCCATACATGCCAAAGATTTTCGTAGCCAGGCTTCATTGGAGCAGTCGTGCATGATGTCAGCAAAGCATGGATGGAGGAATAAAAAGCCTTCCACCCAAGGAGCAAAAAGTCAGCGGTGGCGGGCAAAGGCTACAGCAGGAAGCCACCAGGAAGAAGGACCCTGCAGGGACTGTCCCGTGCCAAACATGAAGACCCCTGCAATCACCACGGTTCCTTTGCCCTGTACTCGCGGTTGCATGCTCGTTCTCGAGGACCGCTTCCTGGCGAGCGGCGGCTGGCGTTCCGCGGAGCACTTGTACAACATGGCAGGGAAGGTGCTGCCTCTGGGTTTGCAAGGTAACATCCTGCAGAACTGCAGTTCTAGTCACCCTTGAAATCTTGAAATTCATCCTTGAAAGTCCTATGCATTGCCACTCCCCAAGGCTTGACGATCAGAATTTTCGTCGTCGGTTCCTTGCGAGGCCAGTTGCCGATTACCACGCTCTTGAAAAATTGAGCATTCAGCACTCAGTTTCTCTTTCTTCCAGTCTTGTTCCCAATGTCTCCTGAAGGCCACCAGAGCCCGATGATGTCTTGATCGTCTTGGATGCTGATGAAGTCATCAGGCGAGAGGCTTTGTGGCAAGTGAAGCACTGCAAATTCAGCTTCTTGGCTTTTCGACTTAGACTCAGATCTGAAGCATCGATTTCAGTTCCTTGGGGCTGCCACTTCTATGTCTTCATGTGCTACTCGTTGCTTGACCGTGTCGCTGTCCGTCTTGTCTTGCAGGCGTGCGGATTTGCTCTCGAATTAGTGGTAACCTTCATTTGCAGGACGAGCCCGTAAGAGTTGCGATGCAGATTTTTGGCCCCTGGTTTCATTCGAACGAACGGAGCTTATCTGCACAGTTGCAGCTGAGGATTCCCGATGAGATTTCAAATGCGGAATTTTGTCTATGACTTTCAGCATTACAACTATCAGGTCACTCGTGGATATACTTCCTACTTTCAGGAGGCTGACTGGTCGTTTGCAACAGGAATCACTGTACATCAACTCACAGTTGACGGCATCCAGCCTCATGCTGCCCGTGTGGCGCGCATAGCAGACAAGGTAACCTCTAACGTCTCTGAGCCCCTCGGATACCAACGGTACAGACGCCTTCCTGAGACGGTGTTCCCGAATGCCGGCTGGCACATGCACTTGTTCTTTGGACCCAAGCAGATTGCGCGAAAGCGTGCAATGGGCTTTCATCATTCGTACAACCGCAGGCCTTTCAATCACACTCCAAGTCTTCATGCGATGATGGTGCATGGTCGCCATCCACTCCAGCTGGACTGCATGGAAGTTGGACGTCGGATAACGCCAATGGTGCTCGGTCCAATCCAGTACCGTTTCGGTTGCGAATTGCAAGTGCTTGAAGATTTCCACACTTGCAGAGTTGCTTATGACTCTTGCGTCCACCTCCGAATCCAGGTCAGCTGCAAGGTCAGACCTTGCGACGAGCCGGAAATGGCAAGAGGAGCTGGCCGTGTGGCTTGCGTTTTTCCCGCGCGTGAGCCACGGGAAGCCTTGCCGCACATTGTCCGGGACGATCCAAGCGCCCGGGCAGCTTCAGAGCTAGGTCGCACTCTGTAGCACTCAACAATCAGCTTTGGCAGAGTCATCGCATGCACTGATGCAGTTGCAGGTGAGCTGTCAGTGCCAAAGTGCTAGCAAAAAAATAATCCACTTATCTCAAACTTCACAAAACTACGACTTCTACGTTCTGAGAGGTATGGAGTGCCTGGTGGACAGGATTGGTGCTGGCCTGGAGCCTCTGGGTGATTGAGGGGTCATTGTGGGGTGTCTTTGTTGTGTGCCTTTGCATTGCCTTTGCATTGCCTTCATTGCCTTCAAGTTGTGTTCATTTGGTGATTTGCTTTTCGTTGTGATCGATCCTTTCAACTGCCGAAGCTTTCGACTGACCAATTGCTGTCAGCTTTGCTCGTGAAGTTTCCTCTATGCGTGGGTCAACAGTCGTTAAGAGCAGACGCAGCGCCCGAGTTTCATTGGTACTTCAGTCAAGGATCGGGTCTGCCCATCCGACGTCGAGGACATTGACTGGCCATAGAAAAGCTGGCACCATACTTGCGAGGCTTCCCAGAGGCTTGCAGAAGGAGGGTAGCTCAATCCGATCTGCGGAGCGAGATCTATGAATCAATGGTGCATGAATGGTGTGTTGCATTGACTCGAGCCTTCAGTAACCAACGACGCCGTGGTCTTCGATTGCTTGATCCATAGCTGGACACCCAGGTCTATCCTTCAGAGAATCCCTGAGGAGCAGATGCATTGAGTCCAGAGAATTTCCAAGCGTGGAGATGCGTAGAGAGTTTTCACCCTCCGTATCCCTCCGGGAAGCAGTCCTGCATTCCCCGTCGAGCCAACTGTGTGAATCCTCAGGGAGTGTTGACTGCGCACCTTGCGGCCTTGCGATATCCCCCACAAATTCGCAAGCCTGTCAAATTCCTTGCGAAGTGAATGTCCGGAATCGGCCCCGGCGAAAGCATAGCCCAGTATATATATATATATATATATATAGCCCATCACCCGTAAAAGTCCTTGACTATGAATGGCTTGGAAGCAGGGATTCCCTTTTTTGCACCCTCTCAAGGGCAGACTTCTGTGTCGGGTCTGAGATGTCCAAACATTGTCACACAGGCAATTCGGCATTTCCGGGTGAGGTGCAGAATCGACCGAACCTACAGTCCAAATCAAGGAGGTCGTTTCCGAGACTCAGGAGTTTCTTTGAGCTTTCCTGTTGCTTCGGGCCCTGCGTGGAACTTGCTTTACAAGGGTATGGCCATGTCCACTTTGCAAGGACTGCAACCTTTTTGAAGAAGGGGTTTCTGCCCAGAGTTTTAGTCTTTGCAGTTACCTCGAATCAAATCCATGTCCCAAGCCCGACCTACCTCAACTCACTCCCATGCTGCATGAAATCTGCATGAACAGTAGCTGAACAGTAGCCGAACCCTTTACAAGCTCCAAGACTTGGTGTTTAAGCGTCTGCCAGAGCAGTCTCGGCCCTCGGTGTTTAGGGCATGTATCCGGTCGGCACACCATGGATTGCGCCCATCGCAGCTGCACTGCGAGTTGTGCTGCTGTCTCCCGCTATCTCCACCCGAGCAGCTGAGCTACTTGGGCGGTTCAGCGTGTCGAAACGCAAGCTTTCTTGGGCGTTCTGATGGCGGGGCTGTAGACATGGTAAGCCGCGTCGTGAAGAAATGCAAGGCTGGCCACCCATTCATGTGGCCTTATGGGTTTGACTGATGATGACTTGCTGAGGGCTCCTGTGGATCCGAGATGCTGGGCAGACGAGTTCAGCGGCCAGCAAGAAGCATGCTGCGCAGATGCATCTGCGGGAGCTGACTTGGGTTGCTGGGGCGGTCGGTTCTTATATGAGAATTGCTGCCTGGGAGTCTTGCTTTTCAACTTTTCAGTGTCCTTCCCTGTTCTCATTCCAAATCCTTCGCTTTCTCCGAAATGTAACAAGTAACACGCACTTGATTTCGGTCTGACGTTTAATCGGTGTCAGAAACAGCCAAGGAGTTGGCTTCTGGGACTTCTCCAGGGGTTGCTTCCTGAGCAAATCCCAGTTTGGTGAGGAAGATTTGGTAGTTGAGTTCTTCGGGTGGCGCGAAAAGACAGCTGGGGTCTATGTTGAGATTGGAGCGTTTGACGGCATCACCTTCTCCAACACGCTTTCGCTGCATAGCTGCCTCAGTTGGTCCGGCGTATTGATTGAAGGTAGTCCACAGAATTTCGAGCGTCTGCGTCGGAACTTGGCAAGCACACGTCCAAGAAACGTCGTCGCTCACTTCGGGGCAGTTTGCGCACCGCCAGAGTCGAACCTGACCTTCCTGACCGGTCAACAAGACGGATTGGCCGAGCATGGAGCAGCAGATGGTGATGTTGAGCAGTTTGAGCATCTAAAGCATCTGTCCCGCCTCAAAGGCGGCCACAGTACTGCTACAGTTCCTTGTAAGCCCATGTCTTGGTATCTTCAGTCTCTTCCGTCAAATCACGTGGACTTCTTCTCGTTGGACGTCGAGGGCTCTGAGTTAGAAGTTCTTCTGACCATGGATTTTAGAGAAGTCACCGTGGAAGTCTTCATGATCGAACTGCTCGAGCGGTCTGAGTCTGACCAGCAAAGAAACTGGAAGGTGCGAAATCTCATGGCAAATCTTGGCTACAAGGAGTGCCAGCATGCCAAGGTCAGGCACAGTGGTCTTTTCGTCCGCCAGCAGGGGCCATTTTCAAGCAAGTGCTAGTTATTGGGAGCCTTGATCTGGTCTGGCAGATTCGGTTGTTGTTCCCGTCTCTGCCATTGACAGAGCAGCACCTTAATTTCCAGCCCTACATGTCGCAGTTCTTGGCCTGGATCACCCCTCATCTCCGCGATCTTTGGGTCTGAGCGGTCGGGGCGCTGAAAGAACTGAGGAAACGGAAAATGAAGAGGTTCAGCTACATTTCGGAAAAAGTCTCCGATTGATCCAAAACACTTTGGTCCCCGATTTTGATTTACTTAAACCTCTTTGCGAAAAGCCTCAAAAGGTACTGGCGAAAATTATGTTTCAATTAAGTTTCGTAAGCAGTCGTCGATTTATTCAACCTCGTTGGTCCATGTATTCAATTTACGTAAACATCCTTGCCGAAAAGCCTCACTAGCGAAAACACCTATGTTTTGGCACTAGAGTGTTTAGAAGGGTTTCGCAGGGGGTGTTAGAAGGTTTTGGTAGTGTTCTTAAGGGTTTACCACGGTTGCGTAGGGTGTAGTAGGGTTTAGAAGGGCTTGGAAGGATTGCGAAGAGTTGAGTTTAAAAGGGTTGTAGAGGGCTTTAGAAGGGTTGTTCAGGGTTTATACGGGCTTAGAAGGTTTAGAATGGTTTCGAAGGGTTTTCGAAGGGTTTTGGGTGGGTTTCGGTGGGTTTTGCGTGGGTTTTGCGTTTGAGATGTTATTCCCCCAAAGAGGGTGGTTTAAGTAAATTGAAATCTTCAGCCCCAAATAACACGCTTTGCAGACATCCGGTAATACAATATTGTCAGACACGGACGGGGTCCCACCGCCCACCGATCCCACCACCCACCTCTGGGTTTATTAATATAAATCCCAATGCGGGGGTGAAGTGGGTTTGCCACGCCTGCCAGGGTTTTGAGTGGGTTTGGGATGGGTTTTGGGTGGGTTTTGGGTGGGTTTCGGTGGGTTTTGCGTGGGTTTTGCGTTTGAGATGTTATTCCCCCAAAAGAGGGTGGTTTAAGTAAATTGAAATCTTCAGCCCCAAATAACACGCTTTGCAGAAATCCGGTAATACAATATTGTCAGACACGGACGGGGTCCCACCGCCCACCGATCCCACCACCCACCTCTGGGTTTATTAATATAAATCCCAATGCGGGGGTGAAGTGGGTTTGCCACGCCTGCCAGGGTTTTGAGTGGGTTTGGGATGGGTTTTGGGTGGGTTTCGGTGGGTTTTGCGTGGGTTTTGCGTTTGAGATGTTATTCCCCCAAAAGAGGGTGGTTTAAGTAAATTGAAATCTTCAGCCCCAAATAACACGCTTTGCAGAAATCCGGTAATACAATATTGTCAGACACGGACGGGGTCCCACCGCCCACCGATCCCACCACCCACCTCTGGGTTTATTAATATAAATCCCAATGCGGGGGTGAAGTGGGTTTGCCACGCCTGCCAGGGTTTTGAGTGGGTTTGGGATGGGTTTTGGGTGGGTTTCGGGTGGGTTTCGGTGGGTTTTGCGTGGGTTTTGCGTTTGAGATGTTATTCCCCCAAAAGAGGGTGGTTTAAGTAAATTGAAATCTTCAGCCCCAAATAACACGCTTTGCAGAAATCCGGTAATACAATATTGTCAGACACGGACGGGGTCCCACCGCCCACCGATCCCACCACCCACCTCTGGGTTTATTAATATAAATCCCAATGCGGGGGTGAAGTGGGTTTGCCACGCCTGCCAGGGTTTTGAGTGGGTTTGGGATGGGTTTTGGGTGGGTTTTGGGTGGGTTTCGGTGGGTTTTGCGTGGGTTTTGCGTTTGAGATGTTATTCCCCCAAAAGAGGGTGGTTTAAGTAAATTGAAATCTTCAGCCCCAAATAACACGCTTTGCAGAAATCCGGTAATACAATATTGTCAGACACGGACGGGGTCCCACCGCCCACCGATCCCACCACCCACCTCTGGGTTTATTAATATAAATCCCAATGCGGGGGTGAAGTGGGTTTGCCACGCCTGCCAGGGTTTTGAGTGGGTTTGGGATGGGTTTTGGGTGGGTTTTGGGTGGGTTTCGGTGGGTTTTGCGTGGGTTTTGCGTTTGAGATGTTATTCCCCCAAAAGAAAGGGGTTTTAAATTGAAATCTTCAGCCCCAAATAACACGCTTTGCAGAAATCCGGTAATACAATATTGTCAGACACGGACGGGGTCCCACCGCCCACCGATCCCACCACCCACCTCTGGGTTTATTAATATAAATCCCAATGCGGGGGTGAAGTGGGTTTGCCACGCCTGCCAGGGTTTTGAGTGGGTTTGGGATGGGTTTTGGGTGGGTTTTGGGTGGGTTTCGGTGGGTTTTGCGTGGGTTTTGCGTTTGAGATGTTATTCCCCCAAAAGAGGGTGGGTTTAAATTGAAATCTTCAGCCCCAAATAACACGCTTTGCAGAAATCCGGTAATACAATATTGTCAGACACGGACGGGGTCCCACCGCCCACCGATCCCACCACCCACCTCTGGGTTTATTAATATAAATCCCAATGCGGGGGTGAAGTGGGTTTGCCACGCCTGCCAGGGTTTTGAGTGGGTTTGGGATGGGTTTTGGGTGGGTTTCGGGTGGGTTTCGGTGGGTTTTGCGTGGGTTTTGCGTTTGAGATGTTATTCCCCCCAAAAGAGGGTGGTTTAAGTAAATTGAAATCTTCAGCCCCAAATAACACGCTTTGCAGAAATCCGGTAATACAATATTGTCAGACACGGACGGGGTCCCACCGCCCACCGATCCCACCACCCACCTCTGGGTTTATTAATATAAATCCCAATGCGGGGGTGAAGTGGGTTTGCCACGCCTGCCAGGGTTTTGAGTGGGTTTGGGATGGGTTTTGGGTGGGTTTCGGGTGGGTTTCGGTGGGTTTTGCGTGGGTTTTGCGTTTGAGATGTTATTCCCCCAAAAGAGGGTGGTTTAAGTAAATTGAAATCTTCAGCCCCAAATAACACGCTTTGCAGAAATCCGGTAATACAATATTGTCAGACACGGACGGGGTCACCGATCCCACCACCCACCTCTGGGCTTATTAATATAAATCCCAACGCGGGGGTGAAGTGGGTTTGCCACGCCTGCCAGGGTTTTGAGTGGGTTTGGGATGGGTTTTGGGTGGGTTTCGGGTGGGTTTCGGTGGGTTTTGCGTGGGTTTTGCGTTTGAGATGTTATTCCCCCCAAAAGAGGGTGGTTTAAGTAAATTGAAATCTTCAGCCCCAAATAACACGCTTTGCAGAAATCCGGTAATACAATATTGTCAGACACGGACGGGGTCCCACCGCCCACCGATCCCACCACCCACCTCTGGGTTTATTAATATAAATCCCAATGCGGGGGTGAAGTGGGTTTGCCACGCCTGCCAGGGTTTTGAGTGGGTTTGGGATGGGTTTTGGGTGGGTTTCGGGGGTTTTGCGTGGGTTTTGCGTTTGAGATGTTATTCCCCCAAAAGAGGGTGGTTTAAGTAAATTGAAATCTTCAGCCCCAAATAACACGCTTTGCAGAAATCCGGTAATACAATATTGTCAGACACGGACGGGGTCCCACCGCCCACCGATCCCACCACCCACCTCTGGGTTTATTAATATAAATCCCAATGCGGGGGTGAAGTGGGTTTGCCACGCCTGCCAGGGTTTTGAGTGGGTTTGGGATGGGTTTTGGGTGGGTTTTGGGTGGGTTTCGGTGGGTTTTGCGTGGGTTTTGCGTTTGAGATGTTATTCCCCCAAAAGAGGGTGGTTTAAGTAAATTGAAATCTTCAGCCCCAAATAACACGCTTTGCAGAAATCCGGTAATACAATATTGTCAGACACGGACGGGGTTCCACCGCCACCGATCCCACCACCCACCTCTGGGTTTATTAATATAAATCCCAATGCGGGGGTGAAGTGGGTTTGCCACGCCTGCCAGGGTTTTGAGTGGGTTTGGGATGGGTTTTGGGTGGGTTTCGGGGGGTTTTGCGTGGGTTTTGCGTTTGAGATGTTATTCCCCCAAAAGAGGGTGGTTTAAGTAAATTGAAATCTTCAGCCCCAAATAACACGCTTTGCAGAAATCCGGTAATACAATATTGTCAGACACGGACGGGGTCCCACCGCCCACCGATCCCACCACCCACCTCTGGGTTTATTAATATAAATCCCAATGCGGGGGTGAAGTGGGTTTGCCACGCCTGCCAGGGTTTTGAGTGGGTTTGGGATGGGTTTTGGGTGGGTTTTGGGTGGGTTTCGGTGGGTTTTGCGTGGGTTTTGCGTTTGAGATGTTATTCCCCCAAAAGAGGGTGGTTTAAGTAAATTGAAATCTTCAGCCCCAAATAACACGCTTTGCAGAAATCCGGTAATACAATATTGTCAGACACGGACGGGGTCCCACCGCCCACCGATCCCACCACCCACCTCTGGGTTTATTAATATAAATCCCAATGCGGGGGTGAAGTGGGTTTGCCACGCCTGCCAGGGTTTTGAGTGGGTTTGGGATGGGTTTTGGGTGGGTTTTGGGTGGGTTTCGGTGGGTTTTGCGTGGGTTTTGCGTTTGAGATGTTATTCCCCCAAAAGAGGGTGGTTTAAGTAGATTGAAATCTTCAGCCCCAAATAACACGCTTTGCAGAAATCCGGTAATACAATATTGTCAGACACGGACGGGGTCCCACCGTTTAGGGTTTAGGGTTTAGGGTTTAGGGTTTAGGGTTTAGGGTTTAGGGTTTAGGGTTTAGGGTTTAGGGTTTAGGGTTTAGGGTTTAGGGTTTAGGGTTTAGGGTTTAGGGTTAGGGTTTAGGGTTTAGGGTTTAGGGTTCAGCACTCCGGGTCGAGCAGCTTTATGGTTAAGCTTTATTTACGGCTCGGATATAACACCCACCCACCCAGAGAATCCCACTACATTGAGAAAGCCAAAAACGGCCAAATTCTGAAAATAAAGCGGCCAAATTCTGAAAATAAAGCGGCCAAATTCTGAAAATAAAGCGGCCAAATTCTGAAAATAAAACGGCCAAATTCTGAAAATAAAGCGGCCAAATTCTGAAAATAAAAC